ACGGAGACCCGCGCTCGCCCCGGAGCGGGTCGTCGTTGCGCGTCTTATCTGCCCCGAGCAGCTCCGAAGCGACTCCGTTGTTGACAGACAACGCCTCCAGGGTAGGGTAGAGGGATAGCTTCGGCGGAGTGTCGACGAGACGTTCGTCCCTGTTATAAAACCGAGCGTACGGCTGGGGAGGGTTGAAGGGTCGCGCGCACCGGTTATCGGGGCCGGGGTCGCACAAGCGGTTTTAACGCGTTCACCGCACGCGTACCTAACCCGAAAACGACGAGAATCGCGCCGATACGTTCGGATTGTCCGTTGAATCCGTACGTCGGGTGACGAACGTTCGCCACGTCGGAAGCGAGTCGCGCTTACCGTTCGGCTATACCGTGCGTGCAGTCCTGTATCCTGCCTCTTGAACCACCGTTCTCCACGTCTGTTCAAAGACGACGTCCACCACCGCCTCGTCGCACGTATTTTTTTACTGTTCCCTCGGAATCAATAACTCGCTGCAAGATCGCAGAGGCAGCTGCTGCGATCACGTCATCCGTTTTAGTTTTCTACTTTATTTTTTAAGTCAAATTAAGTTTTCAAGCGCGTACGAATTCGCGCACAGACGTACTCTGGATGAAAGCACGCGTCCAACATTCCAACACTACAGTGGATCCAACGTCGGCTACAACGTGTGGTTGCATCCGTGAGTCAAACATCGGTCCCGTTGTTCGGCCGACGCTTACACGTCAATGTTTGGAGCCAACTGTGTACCACAGTCTTAATACACACATTTTATACTTATTCGTATACTATTGTTATGGTTTACGTGATTTACGTTAATTTAAGTTCGTTTTTTGTACATTACCATTTCAATAATTCATCATTTTTTCTTATTCCAAAAATCTATATTTGAAAGCCCCGACATTAGCTAGTTCTTTACCTCTCTCGGATAAAATAATTTGTATTTCTTTATTTTCCATTTTAATTTAAAATATACGTTTGGGTTAATTCAAAATACACGTTATTAATTCAACACGAGCACACGAAACAGAACAGACTAGCTATTATTTACAGCGTAGGTACATACAATAACAGTGCAATCGTTGTAGATATTATTCTGGTTATTAAAGTAATTTAATACGGAAAAGCAACGGTAGAAGTTATTTTAAACTTCCTTGGTACTTTAAAATAACTTTACCGTTACTATCGTTACTTCCTTGGCACTTATCAATCGAAAAAGAATTTTTTTCGACTAACGGTATCAACCGTTTTTAACAAACCGTCCGACTGCCGTGCGATTATTACGGTCAATGCTAGGCCGCTCAAAGTCAAAGTGCACGCGACAGTTTTCGAAATATTGCGCCATAATTTTACTGCACGACACTCGTGTGTTGAGCTCTATTCAGTACTTTAACAAAACGCGCAGTAAAATTATGGCGCGGTAAAATAACGCTAGTATGTTTCCAGCCTAATAGTTTTCAATCTGACAACGTTGTACATAATTTTTTTTTTTTTATCTTGCTCAATCGGGTCGTCAAAAAGTTCGGCCGATAACGACCGTGCTCAGTCGCGTATCACCGGTTGGGTGTGAGTATCGATAAAATGTACTTGCCTCTGAAAATTTTTGAGTTCGCCACACCACTGATCATACATGTCCCCCATCTGGACTTTTTATGATGGACGCCTTTGCGCGCACGTAGGCGCGAGCACACATACCAGGAGCGCACCCGGTCACGTACTTATCGTTTACGCATTTCGCATGAAGGTACGTGCGCGAGCTAAACATGTCGATGTAGCAGACGGCAAAGAAGTGAGGTGATAAATATAATGCGTAATGAAAAACATCGAGGATTTTCGTGGTTAGCTTTTAGAAAAACCGACCCGATGCGATGGTTGGCCCGTTAAATGCACGTCCGAACGCAATACGCGAACCCTTCACTCCCCGAAGCCGTTACCGTTTCAACCTAACTTACCGGTAAACTAATACAATTAAATGCAGGAGCCGGTTTTTCATTAGGTTTTTCCTATTATCCTATGTAATAGCCAAGAAATCTACGAGTTGTGATAAAATAATAAAAATATAATTAGTCGTATTGACATAATGGAGCACTACCTCAAGTTTTTTTTCTGGTGTGTGAAGTTTTAAGCGGGCCGTTTTGGCCATTCCACCAAGCCATATAAAAATAGATATACGTATACGTACATTGTTCTGTTTTCAGTTATTTCTATACATCATGAACCGAATCATTGTACCAAAATAAAAACTCTAAAAATCAATTCAAAAACTAAAATATAATTAATTAATTACCTTAACGGTGAAACCCAATAACTGATGCATAAAAAACTAAAAGAAGAAATGCATCAGTAAATAAAAAAAAAAGTACTTAACATCTAAATTTATAAATCATTGTTTATTTTTTATAATTTTAACTTTTGTAAAAGCAAAGCGTTAAAAAAAAATTATTTTTAAAGTTAACAAATTCATCTACAGCTTCTTCTATATTAATATTGTTAACTTTTTATTTTTCAACATTAAGTACCATTAGATTGTTTAGTCTTTCATCACCCATGGTAGATAGTAAATATGATTTTACTAGTTTGAGCGACGAAAAAACCTTACATTTGCATGCTGTTTTAATTGATCAATTTACCTACAGTGGTCTATCCAACCATGTTTCATATGAGTAGTTTTCAATCCGCTCTGTGATTGATATTACTAGGGATACCTTCGACCAGATGGGTTAGGTATAATTCGGTATTCTAATAGCTTACCGCTATTTCAATCTTGACTAGCTATCTGTGTGTTTCGATTTGACATGATATAATTGGTTACCGCTTACATGAACTGTAGTTTTCACGTAGTAATAAATCAAATTACCGTTGAGCACAAACTTCTTAAATACATTTAGACACAAACTATTATGTTTTTCGAATACTTTCTATTGATTTATGAGTGTTCCGTTCGCGAAACTTCGTGTTGGCACTGAAATCGGCTTTTGCGTTCTTCCCATGGGACGCATCGCATGGTAATTATAATGATAATATTCAAATGCAGTTTAGAACGGTTTTTTTGGCCCGCTAAATCACGTCATTATGATTGTGCAGCAGTTACGTGTATGCACTGGACAATATTTTATTTATTTTATTTATAAGTGTATTGCGATCGCGTGTAAAGCCTATCGATACCCTTAATAATATTATGTTAAACGTATACGTTGGAATTAATGCGCGAAATTGTATTGCATTCACGTCAACCTCACCTACGTTGCCCGTGCGGATGAATCGTCGAGCTGATTTTAATATTGTTCACCTCCCGACCGTCTTTACTCATAATATACGCAACTATATATCGTGCAAACTTATCACATAATTTTCTGGTCGAAACCGATTGAACTCCGACCCACGTCAATTCGACAGTTTCATAATACCATCTTACCTAATGCAATAACCGTTGACAGATCCGCCGCGGCCATATCCATTTTAATACAGGTAAACCTCGCGTGCGAATTATCAGGTTTAAAGGCGCGTCCACGTAACACGCAAACACGAGATACGCAAATTCATCGCGTAATCATAATGCGGACGTGTTTACAAATAGTACGCACAGAGCACACACTCGTATTTCATGATCGCGATAATAACGGGTACACATCAAAGATATTTATGACGATCATTGGACGGGGTTAATCGTGTTTGCGTACTGTTCGCCCGGTGGTGATACTTTAAAATTAAAACCAGGAGTCTTTCGTCTGCAGGTATAATTTTTCTAAAGCGCATATCGCTTTTTACAAGTTTAGATCCAATAGAATTCTGTAGCATTTCAAAATCACTATTGTTCATTCGAAGGAAATCTGAAAAATTAACAGCTTCGTTTATTCTTAAATCGTTTAATAAGTTGGTCCGGCAAAAACAAACGGGATTTTTATAAATATCACTGACCCTAAATTGGTGACTATATTTTAATTTTCGATATTTTTTATATCATACTTTTCATAAATACATACTAGTCTATGTACGCAGCACTAGCAATAATAATTTCATCATCAGTATCGAGCATTTTGAACAAATAACACACGACCACTTGGCATAAACACCAAAATTGAACTGTAAGTTTTCAATCTTCATTTCTTTATTCGTGGACAACAGTAAAATCAAAAACAGCAAACACTATGCTTACAATGTACGAAGTGTTTAATAATTACAAACATTACACACGGTTCAAATGCATGTGCTGTATTTTATGTCTGCACTCTATGTGGACCCACCTTTATAATATGCCTGATATTTTATGATTTGTATACCGCGAACCCTTGTAAACCTCCGATGACCATCTATTCACACCATTAAAATTTACTGCGATTACGTGGTAATTCTCTTGAGTACAACCATAACATTATCACATGCGTTGTACGAAACGTGTCATGTGCTGATCATGTTCACACTATTTATGGGACAAATCCGGATTCACCTAAATTTGAAAATTCAAATTTAACGTTTCCGAAATCCAAGTTCCTGATTAGATTTCAAAATTCGAATTTTGCTCTAAATACGGATTTCGAATTTTGAAACATTGCATTGCTATTCGTTTATGCATTAATTATAATAAAGTCATAATAAATAAATCATTTTTTTAAATTAAATCAATACATTTAAAGTGAGTATATTCAATTCACAAAATAGTCATTAGTAGAATTTAATTTTAAATTATCTAATACAACCGACGAAATATCAAAACCTATGCATAATGTAGTTCCAGAAATTTAAATTCAATTATTTATAAAAATACAAAATTTGAAAATCCTGATATTTTGGATTATTGAAGAATTCAGATTTATAATACATCACTAGTTTACATTCGTATTTGATTGTGACAAAAATGTAGCTTTTGAATTATAAATAGGTACACACCACTCAGTTAATTTTCACAATACATAATTACATAATATAGTCCATGTAAACATACCATATATATATTGATTTGTGATTATAATTATTTTGTTTTTTTTTTTTTTTTGTTTCAGGGAATATTATTACAACAGGTAGGATATAATATTATATTTTTGTATACTTTATAAAATAAAAATAACCTAATCTTAGAGTTTGAATAGTGTATATGGCTGTTTAAAATAAATCGATTACATCGTTGGTCTGCTTACCAGCTATATATACAGAGAACTAAGTATCATAGGACTTGGTAAGCGAGATAAAATTGAAGTTTTACAACAAAAAAAAAAAAATAATAATAATAATAATAAAAATAAATAAATAAAAAGCGAGAGACCGAATATAAGTTTCAAGGAATTTAAATAGTAACTCTGTTAGGAGTAGTTTTTTTTCACAAACCCGTTTAAAATACTCCGGAGGCAACTTTTTATCATAGCGAAAATAATAATTCCATGCACTTCTCGCGTATACAACTAACTTTTTTTTCTCCCTCGCGTGGCGTTTTGTCAAGAACAAAATCAATTTTTGACGAGATTTTTTTTGCCATTCAAGGGGAAGAAAATATTTTTTCGTCATATAATGAAGACGCTAAATTGAATTTTGAAATTGTTCGTTGTAAAAATAAGTAAATTGCATTGAAAACGATGCTGATGGACACCGGGAATAATAATAGAAACAAATGAGCACCAAACAATTTTCGTTGGGTTTTCCGAGTTCGCAAACGAAGAAGAAACGCATTGTATAGCTAAATCACATTGCAAAATTCAATCGTTACGTTACTGCCTCTTATGGTGTCGTATTTTCATCACCACTCAATTACAGGGAAGTTACAAAATCATTTGGTTTTAGCAACTCTTTGGTATAAATGTCTTATGTGGTGGCTTATCGGTACAATTGTTTTTCATTCTGAGATTTTTTTCACTCCCTACTCCACCATCTACGTACATGGTGTATGAACCGAGTTGGTTTTGACGATAAATCAAAAACTTGTTCGTTTAAGTTTGTTTGTGACGACAAGGAAAAATATAGAGAATCATTATAATAATAAATACTTTGAGTAATGTCGAGATGAGAAATTGGCAATAAGTCTCGTACGATTGTTGTCGTATAAGTATGCGTTAGTACACTTGCACACATATTCATACACACACCCGTACACCGCACCTATGTCAAGAGGTTTAATATTTGATGTTAATCGTATGGGGCGGATACGCTGTCAGTAATAAAAGTCGACCTGAGAAATACGTATGAATATTTATGAGTTTCTCTCTTTCGTTCGATGATGGATGACGGCAAGTCCAAAGGGACGCGTCTACAACATTATTCTAACAATACTTATACTATGAATATTATTTTACTACGATTTTGATAATATTATATATAGCTGCCGCGCGATGTCAAAAAAAAGTCACAAAAATTAATACTATTCAAAAACCGAATCTTTTGTCTTTCTTACCAATCTAGACGCCCGTGTGACACGACCAGAATTCATCAATTCGAACCGGTTACAAACAAACAATATTGTCCAATAAAATATATTGTAAAAAATCACATATTTTTTCTAGTATTTGTATAAATAAGTACTTTTATGGAGCTAAGATTCGCACTATAATTTTCTTCAGTTTAACATTTCGAATACGAAATTTGTCAAGTGCTTATATCAGACTTCAATGATAAAATTATAGATAATTTATTACGAGCTAATAACAAGGGGCCGTAACCCGAAGTTCATAATTTTTACTTACGTACCTGCAAGTATATAAAGGTGAGTGTGTGTAAAGTGTGTTCATAAAATATGTTTATTTTAAGTGCGATGAATGTAAAATCGTTTTAAAAGTCACAAAGCGTTTTCGGGTGAATGTATATACGCAATTATATTGTACAAAGATACTATAGCAAAACGCACAGAAAACGTCAAGGTAAAGACGATAGAAGAGTATGGCGGTTCGGTGTAATAGTGAATGTGGGCTAGGATATCCATGAGAACAATGCGGTCGTTAAGGGTGTGAACGCGGAAGTCGGTAAATATGCAAAAAGGTGAAGGAAACAACACATTGAATTTTCATCAGCAGCCGTTTTATGGGCGCGAGCGAGCGGGTGCACCAAGGGCGAATTACGGACGAGAACGCACTCTCTTTTGAGAAGGAAAATAATAAATAAATAATAAAAATCTATTATTCAAAACAGACAACCCGAAAACGGTCTTTTCCGCTCCAAGTGCTGACGAGACATTATTTAAACTTAATTGAATTCGCAAGACGGACGCCTTTGTACCACCCTAATGGATCGAAGCCGATATTATAATACGCTACTGACGCGGGGATGTGTGGTGACGCGCGGTAGCGGCAGTAAAGGTGTCGACTTTTTTCCTCGTTTTCTCTTTTCGGTCGGCACTTGTCCGTGCGCGCATTCAAAAAACGCCACCGTGGTAATCGAGACGTCTGTAATGTAAATATTAAGTGATACACGTTTGCGGAAAAAACCGTTTGATTCCCTTGTGCGGCGGAAAAAGGTGTGCACTGCAATGAGGGTGTATACCGTACATACATTTATTGCGTACATATAATTTTCGACGTAACTAGACGTGCATCCCCAAGCTTAAAATGTGCAGGCCTCACCTCTCCTACCTTCTGGTGGTATTCAAAATGGTTTAGTGTGATGGATGGAGGCAGGTCGGTCCTGAAGGGGTGTCTTGGGGAGGGTGTCTCACCTCCCCCCCCAACAAAAACACCAGTCGGCAGTCGGACTCTTTTCATTATAGCCTAGAAAGATCTAATTTTACTTAAGGAAAACAAATATTACATATTTTTTAATACAGTGTATACACGAATAAAATGTATATAACTACTTATTTTACAATATATATAATTTAACTGTCAATTTTAAGAATGTGCGACACTGACACATATATACATGTTAAAATGTAATAATACGGCTACATATAGTTAATTATACTACATACATTGAGTAAAAAAATTGTAGTCGGAATTTTTCATATTATTCACCCCCTTTGATTTTCATCTTCGGGCCGGCCCTGTGTGGAGGGTGGTGGATTTGAAAACTTTTGACTCCAATGAATTCGTAAACTCTTCGTGATTTGTACACTGTTAACAATATTGCAGGTCTAGTTGCGCCAATAAGTACCTACACGCCGTGTGACTACGAAAATTGATACGTCGTATACGTGTGTTGGAGCAGCGTGAGTGCACAAATATTATTGTAATTACTACGACGACCAGATGTTACGAAAGAAAAATTTAAAAAAACATTACTGCATATACAACCGTTTTGCCGTGCCATATATTTTATGTTCCACTTAGCGATTCCGATGTATTTAAATTTCACATACGAAACAATATAGACCTGAAAATAAATGAGCCATTGTTATTTTTTTATAAGAATCGCGTTTTCATGTATTCCGGCGACTACGATGCGTATAATGAACGCGCACCGTCGCCGCTCCGAGTCCAGCGCTGCAGTGTGGACTTTGATCGTTCAATCGTGTGCTAAAACGAAACTGATGAAGTGATGAGTGACTGATCAACATTGTTGGAATTCACGAGGAAAATATAAAATATACCCACACGCCGAGGACAAGCGGTACCGTTGGTGGTTTTGGATTTTATGAAAAAAAATCTAAACAGCTTATCTCTGAACCGCATGTACGAAAAAACGGAAGTCCAGCGCGTTACAAACGAATTATAGTCTGGTTATTGAATAAAATATGGCTGTCGTAAAAATATCGAGAAACTTTCAAATCGCGATACTAAATCATAAATTGAGATAAATAATCTAACCTAACCTAACTTGACTCAATGACGTTTTAGACTTAAGTACACATTGTTCAGCATTTATTACCATGACCGATTCGAATTAGTTTCCGTCAAAGCAGTCCGAAGAAATTAAATTCCGAAACAGATTTTGAAGCATGGTCGATTCGTTTAAAAATAGGATGACCTATGCGACCGATCTAATTACAACAAATATAATAAATTATACTAATATTGTAAATCAGTTTTGTATCTTTCAAACGTTTACGTTTAAGAATAGAAATAAATACATTTTAGTGATTTTGCGATGTTTATGGGATACTATTGAGGTTGAAAAAAAACCATATCAAGAAAATACGAAAATTAATGTTCGAAAAGAAAATGCTTAGTTAGAAATTGCGACACGATAAAACATAGTTCCGATCGAATTCCGCGTTTCAAATTGAATAAATTGTAATTGCTATTCATTTCTACGCGTTTAGAATCGTAGGTAATTCTACCTACGTACGTACGCAATCACGTTGCGTTGTTAAACACATAATTTATACTACATTAATCTAACGGTACCGACATCGCGAGCGGGATAATTGTTATTTTACAGCTTTAAATTACAAATGTACGCGGCGGAATAAAAAAATTAAATAAATCGTACGTGCAACGCGTGCAAGACAACGAGGCGCACCTGTTCTCGCACCGAGATTTATGGTCAACGAGAATCGGTCATTAGTACCGCGCGCGGTGGACGGGAAATCGAGTATGCGTTCAGATTCGTCGACGGAGGTGCACGTCCGAGTACCGGCGAGTTATGAGATTTCTCGTTGGCTCGACCGAAAGCGAATTGTCGTATACGCCGATTGACTTGTGCGCATAGACACCAAAAAATCACATATAAAAATTAAGGCAACACTTAAAGAAAAAGTTAACAAGCTTCCTATCGTGGCCGAGTCACACGATCACTATAGAAGAACTCCTTTATTGGTTTTTGTCTTCTCTCTTATATATATATATATATATAACCTAATTACACATATTGATAACACGCTAATTTGTAAATTTGCAATGCCCTCATATTTTATATTATAATCATCATCTAGTGCGGTATATTTTCGTAAACTAACGACAGTGTGAAAATAATACATGCTAATTCGAACGTAGGATAAAAAATGTTGTTTCACATTTATCTTTTTATACACTAAAATGTTATGATAAGCTATTTTTCTATTGTAACATGAATACACGTTTGTTTTATTTGTTTTAATATTTCTAAATTGCCTAATACTACTGAATGTACAAAATTTCTCATACACGGCCGGCGGACCGTCAAT